CTTTGTTTCTTCTTCCAACTGAAAGCATTGAACAAAGTAAATCTTTATTTATTTTTAATTAAATATTTTATTAAAAAATCATAACCCGGGTCATCAAAAGGAACTTTAAAAAATAGAAACAAAAAAGTGTATCATAAAATTCTTCCACTTGTAAAAAACTATTAAAACATAATACACTGAGACAGATATTATGAATTTGAAACATTTCGGGGTATCAGACTTTTTGAGAAAAAGAAGAAACAAGAAAATTAACATGAATAGAAATGGTCAATAATATTGAAATCGGCTCCATCATTTGGTGAATAAGCAAGCTTAAATAATATATTTGTTCAATATTACTTCATATTAGTATAAAGAAGTTCACTGAAAATCAATAATCAAAAATAATTGACGACTATTATAAGCATTATAATTATTTCTTTTATTTCTTTTTCTTTTAACGACTCAGAGAGTTAATTTTTTTTATTCGTAAAGATAATACAAGTATTAAGCACATTATAATTATTTTTTTTTTTTTTTTTTTTTATTTAAAATATATAAGTATGAATCCATATTAAGTCGTGTAACATTTTTTTTCGTCATAATAAATCAACTCGCAATACAATTAATTGAACGACAAAGATTCAATAATATTTAACGGTGAAATTAATTTTTAATATATAAAAAATGACGATTTTTCACTGAAATCTCGAGCTCAATGTCAGTTTTACTATATCACCTGTGGTGATAATTAGAAATTTCCTTATTTGTCGCAAGAAATAAACGTGTTATAAATATATATTTGCTACGAACAAATAGACTTATAAGCTTTCTTTCTATGAGAAAATATCGATTAAAAGGAATCAAAAAAAAAAAAATTGAAAAATTTATTAAGTATATTGGAAGGAATAAAGTTTATATAATAACTATTTTAAAAGAATTTTCAACAAAAAAAAAAAAAAAAAAAAAAATTCCAATTCACAAGATTCTAAAAGTTCAATTCAAAATGTATCATCAACAGGTTTTTTATATCTTTAGGGGCATTTTTTAACTACACTAAAGACTTCAATTTCTTCGATAGGTAAACAAACATTCTTGTAGTTATCAATATTGAATACATTATTATAAATTTTATTGTTATTAAGATGCAGCATTTGTCTGTTAATAAATAAATGATTCCCAAAATTAAAGAATATTCTATTGTAATTCTCATACACAGAATACATCGTGTTAATTACTCGGCCAATTCTCATATTTTGCATGTCCTGATCATTTTCAAAAGAAAAGATGAAACTGTTTGATGATGTTAACCATTTCCCTTCTCCCGACCAATGTCCCCTTGATGCATAACCAATTGGATTATAACCTCCATAAATTCTATTTGATTGAACTTTTATCAATACCACGAAAGGTCCTTTTAGATTACACTTATTATTAAATGTCATACAATCTAAACCATCCCGACTTTTTGTGTAAATCAGATTAAACTTATACCCATTATTAAAGGAAAGAACGTTTGAATCTTTTTTATCAATCCAATTACATATTACAGACGCAAGTTTTGGTTTGATTATTGTCGATGCTACACGAGGCGCCAAAGTTATCATTTTCGGTAAATTACCTTTATGATGAAATTCGGCAATTTCTTTATACATATGGCGAGGAATGATAGCTTCATAAGGATGAACTTTATTCAAAAAATCAGTACGAGAAATTTCAACAAACCGAATAAATGGAATGAGTTGATTTAACGTTTTCTTCAATGCTTTAAAATTTTCTTGATTCCATTCGACTCTATTGCTATTCAATCCAGGGGTCTGTTCAATACCCCATTTGATTAAACAATCCCAAACATCAATTTCATCAACCTGTAAATCATCTCTTTTCAGCAACCCAAATAGAATATCACTATCCAGTAATAGAAAGTTTTTCGATGTGATAAATGGATGTGGATCTGAACAAATTTTTTCAAGACAAAATTCTTGCAGTTTCTTGCAGCTAGCAAGCTTAAATACAGTATGAAGTACCAACACAAAATTCTCTTGAACCCAACTAGTCTGCTTTTCAATCAAGTAATCTTGGATATGTTTAAATAATTCCTCAAGGAGTAATTCATCAGACGCAATTAACAATCCTAAGATTTCTTCATCAGACTGCTTGGTTAAATTTAGTTCACCTGTGTAAATATACCTTAAAAAGGAATCATTAATTTTTAGTAAAACAAAATCATAATTTAAATAAAGTTGTACATTTAAAACGAAACCTACTTTAAAATCATGTCAAAAACAGTTGGGTTAATGTTTGGCTTATTAAACAAAATCATATCATCCTTTTTCGTAATCCAACTAGACGAAAAGGCACTTTTGAAGTATGGGGAACGTGCCCGTAAAATCACTGAATGTACCCGGAATTCTTTGGTATTTTGTTTTTCACCAACTTGAATAATTACATTGAAATCATCGGCATCATTTAATATTAACGAAAGATCTTTTGATAGACCGGAGTAGAATATTGATGTCATTTTATTTTTTAAAAAGAAAAGGGGGGAGGGGGAGGAAGAAAGAAATGGAACTTTAAAACCGTGAAGTTTTTCCCAAACATGATAGATATACTTGCATTAAAACCTGTTTTAATTTAATATGGATATGATTTTCAATATGGTGAAAATCAATGAAGACAAATTGAGATAATTCGAATTGGATCTGCGGTTCTTTGTACATGGATCGATATTTTGTATGACAACAAAAGTATCATTCATATTGGTGTTCACAAAGCTGAAATGTTTTTCTTTGTAAGTTTACGACGTTTTCCTAAGATGCAACTATTTCATTTAGATCTCGGTCTTTTTTAATTTTCTGTACAAACCACATTACTTTATTGAGAGAGTCAAATTAGTTGCTACAATAAAAGCTATATACCTCAAGTTCTATGAGAATACAATAAATATCTTCGGAAGTTCATAATCTTCTTCAGATTGGTTGTGATCGAACATGTAGACAAAATCTATTTAATGAAATCTATTAGTAAGCTCTGGTAACAAGCCTATATGAGCGAGTGTATTGGGATTAACCCACCTACTTGAATTTGTCCTTTGTTCATCAGTCAAATACAGTTCAGAGTAGAAATGTTTTATGTCCCAAGCATTCCTGATCAGTAATTGCATAATTCTTTTCGGCTGAGTTTAAACTTTGACTCACATAAGCGATTACATGCTCCTTTCTGTCAAATTATTCTTGAGAAAGAACAGCTCCTAAGCCTATTCCAGATGTGTTCATATAGATAATAAAGGGTCAGTTGAAGTTAGGGTAACTTAGGATCAGTACCTTAATTAGCATTTCTTTTAATCTATCAAAAGCTATTTGTTGTTTAACATCACAAATAAAAGTTCATCCTTCTTTAGTAATGTAAGCATAGGTTGGATAATCCTTGAAAAGTTCTTTATAAACTTTTGATAGTAAGAAAATAATCTGAAAGCAGCACAGAGTTGCGTAAGGTTCATTGGTTTTAGAAAATTTTTTACTTTAATAATCTTTTCAAGGTCAGGGCAAATTCCATTTTGTTTTACTACATATCCTAAGAAATGGATATTTGGTAAACAAAAGTTACATTTCTTTAACTTAATCTTTAGGTTTGCATTTTGAATAGTTTTGAATACTTGGCATATATAGTTCATATGTATTTCAAAACTTCTTTTAAGTAAATTATTACATCATTTAAATAAACAGCTACAAAGTCTCCAAGAAATTCCTGCAAAACTTTGTTCATCAATTGCTGAAAAGTTTTTAGTGTATAACTTAACCCAAAGGGTATTACCAAAAATTTGTACAATCTAAATGGTATTATAAAAATGGTTTTTTTTATATCTGCTTTATTTATGGCTACTTGCTAATATCCAATTACTAGATCTAACATGATGAACTATTAAGCAGCTCCAAAGCTTTTCAAAAGGTCATCAATTCTAGAAAGAGGATAAACATCAGCTTTAATAATGGCATTTAACTTATGATAATTGATGCAGATCCTTTTATCACTACCTTTCTTATATACTATTACCACAGGTAAAGCCTATAAACTTGAAGACTTCTGAACTATTCCTTATTCCTCTATTTTAACAATTTCTTATTTGAGGAATTCCTGATTTTTAGGATTACTTTGCTATCAGATTTATTTTTTTTGATATTATTATACAATCATTATATCATATATATAATTAGAATGTCAATATAAATATATGTATTATTATGTATGTTAATAAGGATATTAATAGGATTTTTATAAATTTAAATTATAATATTAATATTATATATAATTACAAAAAGATAATTATCAAGTGTTACATTATTATCTTTTTTTAACATATATATTTGTATAGATAAGATGATAATTTCATGTATTACAATAGCATTATATTAAATATGTTGCAAAGATATGCATTACACTATAAATGGTTAAGTATATCAGTAAATCTAACTGCGTGATCTGCATACATGACGTCTTTGTATTACTGTTGACATATCAATTTGGTTGGATGTATTTTTTTGGGTTAAGTTCAAAATAATCAGATTATTAGTTAAATAATCTAATTTTTTTACTTGTTGTAATGTATAATGATTATCCATATTAGAGTTGGTTAAACAGGATACTTCATGTGTTAAATGTAAAATAAAAGCTTATTTTAAAAATATCTTTAAAGGGTTAATAATAGTTTAATCATCAAATAATTCATCTTCTTTAATAATAACCAATTGTGTAAAGAAGATATCTTTAAAAAGGTTATCAGTAATATATAATAATATTACATCTTCACTTAGTATCGTATCAATACTTAAAATGCTATTAAAATAGTTTAATAATAATTTAATTATAATTTATACACAGTGATTGAAAAAATATATCTGTTAATCTTCATGTATTCCTCTGCATAAAAACTAAGATCATTATTAAATTGGAAATGGTATTATACCATATATTTCAATCCACGTTCTTTTAAGAATTTGATATTTTTATTATTTTTTTCTTAATCAAGTAGCAGGATTTTTTGCAATAGCAATAATCACAGCAGAACTAGGATTTTGGCTCCTTAAGAACAAGACCTTCATTTCTTCGCACATATCAGAGACATGCTTACTAATAACCTAAATTAAGCCAAATTTAATAGCAAATATAAAAAATATAACTATTACAAAAATATATAAATAATGAATATGAACTTACTCCAGTAATTTCTTTATTAGACATATTAGACATATATTCTCCTGTTAACCTTATTGTTAAATTTGTTTCAAGTAAGAGATAATGAATTTGATTTCTTTATACATCCTTTCAATCACCTTTATCATCATAATGGTGTTTGTTAGATCTATTTAATTATATTTGATCATCAATAATACTCTCTTGATAGCTTTTAAATTTATTTAATTGTATTTGATTATTAATAATCTCTTGAGAATAAGTTTTCATGTTTAAACTATAAGATTTTATAGGTAATTTTCTTGGATAATCGTTTTCTTCAGTATTCAATTCTTTAAAGAGTCATTTGATAAGTAACAATCTAAAATTCAAATCAGATTGATCATCTTTATCATATTCCCAAAAGTAGTTTTCTTAATCATCATTATCATTATCATCATCACATTCATCTGACCTTTAAGAATAGATTTCTTGATCATTATTATCTGACTTATAAAAATAAGATTCTCAATCATTATTATCATAACATTCATCCAATTCATGAAAATAAGTTTCTTGATCATCACTAATATTATTATTATTTTCATGGTCATCAGGATGATTCTCTTATTCGTTTTCATTAAAAATAATTTCATTTATAGATGAATCATTATCTTGAGCAATATTTCATATACTATCAACAGTTATAATAGTATTTTTCCTGTATTATGAATATTTTAATGTATTATTATTAATTTTCAGGATCAAATCATTATTTGTAGAATTAATTTGCTTAGGTCTTTAGTATAAGAAAGCTGTATTGGTATTATATTTTGCAAAAGGCTGGTAAATGACTTTTGAATATTAACTCTTTTACCAATTTTTGAACGTATTACTTGATGCAAATTTGCTTTTTACATCATTTTACATGTAATTTTAACTATTTTAAAAAATAAAAATAAAATTAATTTTGATAGTATTATTCCTCTTTCGTAAAGTTTCTTTTTAGTAATTTTTTTATTTTTTTTTATTTGTTATTAAAACTAAAGTTGGTTACAGAGAAAAATAATTTTTTTTTGATTTCAATTATATTGTATTTTATCTGTTAACTATATTGCCCTATATCATGATTCATAATTTCAATCATTGATCTTGATATTACACATAAATCAATATTTTCTATATCCTTTAATACATGAGTAACTTTTTCTAGTTATATATGCAAAATTCTTTATAGTATGCTACAAAGGAAAAAACAGGTACTAAAATTATCGATGCCTAAGGCAACTAATATAAAATCTAATGTAATAAATATACAAGCCACTCAAAGGATAAAAAAGGCTGAAATTTCCAGTAAAGTTTTTTTTTAATTTATTGAATAATTGAAAGATTTTTATTATGAATTAAAATTTATTAAAAATTATAAATCAAAATACA